ATGAAACCAGTTGAGACTTGTTAGGTGACTTGCCTGGAAGTCTACTTGGGTTGTCAAGTGTTGATTTAAGATACAAATCTTTTTTTTTTTTAAGATTTTATTTATTTATTTTTAGACAGAGGGAAAGGGAGGGAGAAAGAGGGGGAGAAACATCAATATATGGTTGCCCCTCGCGCACCCCTTACTGGGGACCTGGCCACAACCCAGGCATGTGCCTTGACTGGGAATCGAACTAGCGACCCTCTGGTTCGCAGACCAGCACTCAATCCACTGAGCCACACCAGCCAGGACCTTTTCTGTTTCTCTTTACTTTAGAGAATACACTTACCACTTATACCACAATTGTCACTAGAAACGAATCACATCATTTCCCCTTTTTGACAGATTTAACTAAACCTGGACAAAACATTTAGGGAAAGGTGATGAATGTTGGATGTCTGAATTTGGGGAAAGTACATTTGCTTTGTAGACAAATGAGAAAACTGATAGGATGCGAGGATGGGGAGATAGATGAGAAACTTTTTGAAGACTGCTCATGCAACGATGGGCCCAGGCAACCGTTAGTTGTTCATGGGCCATCATACCATCGGGGAATTTACAAAGGTGGGATCAGACTCACGGCATCTGAATCCCCTGATAAGGCTTAGTCATCAGTAAATACCACATCCCCCTGCTGGAAGTTTCCAGCACCACCTATGAAGAATTGAAGCCAAAACTATCCGTCTTAAATCAGACTGGGGAAGGGGATCATGACATAAGGGGATGCCATCAATTAATTCCAAATTATGAAACTCTCCAGGGAAAACCACCTGCTTTCTTCAACAATTGAATTACGAAACCTCCGTTAAACAAGGTGAAATAGGTAATTAAACCTATTGTTTAACAAGGAAAGTTTGTTAAACAATACATGAGAAGTTCACTAACTAAATGCCACATGAGGACCTTACTTGCACTCTAATTCAAATAAACAAAATGTTGAAAAAGGAAACAGTGGTTAGACGATTATTGGAGGTTAACATATAAGGCTAAGATCAGAATGAGAATTTGAAGGAATGTAGATTTCAATAAACAAGTTGAGAGGACAGAAATGTAAGAAAGCATGTGATAAATATACTGGATTATGAACAAATGTATTTTTATACAGGTTGTATAAAAATAATAGATACATCTATTAAAAAACAAACAGATGTGGAAATTTTAACACTGACTGATACTTTCAATAAATAAAATCTTGGTATTGTGGTTAAGTTGAAAAAAAAGTGTCTCCTTCTTTGAACATAAAAAGTGGCTTATCCACAATGAAATGACGTGATGTCCTCCAGTTTTCTTAAAGATATCCGGTGGGTAATAATTGATTCAGACAAGAATGGATGATAAAGGAGTAAACGTTTGATAAGTAACAGGCTATTTACAGAGTCTCAAAAAGCACTCCACCAGATAGTTAATAATTACAAGGGGGAAAATAGTAACTTTAATGTGGAAAAACTTGGCAGATACCACCAAGTGATCCAAGTTAACATGGCTAGTAATAAGACTAATTGAGACAAACTCATTACTTCTGCGTTATTTCTGTCAAAAAAAAAAAAATACATAGCCTGAATGTGATCATGAGGAAACATCAGACAAACCCAAGCTGAAGGATGTCCTACCAAGTAACTGACCTATATTTTTCAAAAATGCCAAGGTCACAAAAGATAAAGATTCAGAAACTGTTCTGATTGAAAGAGACCGAAAATATAACTTAATGCAACAAGTGGTCTGGGATTTCCTCCTGCTATTATAAAGGTCAGTAATGAGACAATTGGTGAAATCTGATTAAGGTTTGTAGATTTCCTGATTTTGATCATTTTACTGAGATTATATAGGAGAATGCCTTGTTCTTAGGAAACAAAGTATTTAGGTGGATGGATGATGATAGATAGATAAATATATAGATTTAAGTGGATGGATGGATGGAGGGACGGATGGACAGACAGACAGGAGCTGGGATGCTAATAATTAGGTATCTGTCCTTACCCAGGACCAATTTCCTCTGAAACCCTTTTACATAAGAAATCCATTTCTCTTTCTTTTTTTTTAATTCCCAAGCCTCAGAGTCCATTTATTTGATGTGTGTGAAGTCTCCAGCGAAGGGTCAGGCATACATTTCTCTTTAAGTTACTAATATTTTGTGTTTTCTGTCATTCGCAGCTGAGCCTAATCTTGATATCATTATTAAAAGAAATATTCCAACAATCATGAAGCATGAGGAAGCTACCACATCACTCATAACAATGGTGATGGTGAGACATGAATTTTTGTTGAATTGGCAGCATATGTGCCAAGAGTTCAGCTGCCCAGAGGCTGCAGAAAACACAGATTTACAGTGTAGAATTGTTAATGGTCACATGTGGCTATTTACATTTTATTTAAAGTTAAAATTTACCATATTTTACTGTGTATAATGTGCACATTTTTGCCCAAATTTTTGAGGGGAAAATATAAAGATGCACATTATGCATGGGTATAATAATCCCATGTATAATGCGCATGAAAACGTGGGTGCACATCATACATGGGAATACATTATACATGGCAAAATATGGTAGTTCCTGCATCACACGAGTCATATTTCAAGTGCTAAATTGCCCACAGGTGTGCAGGGCAGATACAGCATATTTCCATCAATGCAGAAAGTTCTACTGAGATTAGAGTCTAGAACTTGCACTCTAGAACTTGGAACATAGTCTTAGTCTATGGTCCCAAGATGACGCCTGGAGACGTTTGGTGAGAAACATGCATTGCTGAGGTCACGCCAGACCTACACAATCAGACTCTCTCACCACAGAGCCTAAGAATCTGCAATTTTCCTTTTTTAAAAAAAAGATTTTATTTATTCATTTTTAGAGAGAGGATGAGGGAGAGAGGGAGAGAAACATTGATGTGTGGTTGCCTCTTGTGTGCCCTCTTCTGGGGACCTGGCCCACAACCCAGGCATGTGCCTTGACTAGGAATTGAACTGACGACCCTCTGGTTCGCAGGCCGGTGCTCGACCCACTGAGCCACACCTGCCAGGGCAGAAACTGCATTTTAACAGGTTCTTCCAGATGGTTCTGGTGCTTTCTAATATCCAGCAGCCTCATTAGAGGAAAAGAAAGTGAAAGTCACCTTGCACTCCTGTAGGTTGGTCCCTTCCATTCCAAGCTCCAGTATTTGAAGTATCAGTAAAGTAGATCTTCAGGATATCAGAGGAGGATCAGATGTGCTCGCGATCTGCAATCAAGGACTGCCTGAGTTCAAATCCTGACACTTCCACTCACATGCTATGTGACCTTGGGCAGTTCACTTGGCCTCAGTTTCCTTACCTGTAAGAGTGCTTATGATAGTGCCTGAGTACCTCAAAACCGTTGCTTCCACTATTTTTTTTCCCACAGCACTTAACACTTAACTGAAATGACCATCATTTGCTTTTACTTTCATTCATTTCACAAATGTTCATGGAGTACCTACTGTATGCTGGTCACTGTTCTGGGACCAAGCAGCAAAGACAGACACTAACATCTGCTGTCATGGAACTAGCATTCTAGAGGGGAAGATAGAAAATAAACAAGGTGTAGCAAAATGTATTCCATGTTAAAGAGTAGCAGGGGAGGCAGATAGGAAAAGAAACTCGTGCATGGCAAAGCCAGAGGCCTCACCCAGGTTGTGATATTTAAATATAGGTCTGAAGGAGGAAGAATCACAAGGACATCTGGGGGAAGATCATTCCAGGCAGAGGAAACAGCAGGTGCAAAGGTCCTGAGGTGGGAACATGCCAAGTGCTGCTTAACATGCTAGAGACACAGTGGTGAATAACACGGATGCAATCCTATCTTCAAGTTTTTCATACTTTAACAGGGGAAGGCAGATAAACTGTTATATACTACACTGTCAGGTGCTAAACAGGCAAAGAGCTAGACAGAGAGGGACGAGGGTGGTCAGGGCAGGCTTCTGAAAGGAGGTGACATTTTAGCAAAGGCCTGGAGGAAAGGGAGGAAGCACATGGGTATTTCGGAGAAATTTATCAATTCTTGCCTGGCCTATGCCTCTTCCTTCCAATCTCAGCGAGGGCTCAGGTTTCCAGACAGAGGTTGTCACTGCACAGCCGGCGGAAGGGGAATTCCGACGGGGGTGCATGCCCTGCAGTCTCTGACTTCTGTCTGCCTCACTCCTCTCTCACTGGCTGCCCTGGTGTTGCACTGGTGTTGCACTGGTGTTGCCGGGTGTGGCTTCAGCTTGGGGCTCTGTGTTCCCAAACAAAGTTCAGATCTTCAAAGGAGCCACCGTGCCCTGTGCCTCATTGCGTTCCCTCCTGGCTTCTCCTGGTTCTGGCTGGGGCTGGCTGGGGCTGGCCACCCACACTACCGTGGCAAAGAGGGTGTTGAGGATCCTTTCTCTGGCCCATTGGTAGAGTTGACAGGATCTCAAACCAGCCCATTTAAGTTCAAATCCAGACAGGTGCTGCCTGAACTGCTGTGTGACCCTGAGCAGCCCACTTAACTTCTCTGAACCCACATCTCCATAAAAGGAGTTTACCGTAGCTCCCACCTCCTGAGCACTCACATCTTCGTGCCTGGAGAGTGATTGGTCAGCCCTTCCTCTAAGGACGTTGAAGCTCTGAAGGGCTACCTGGGCCTGCGGTCCCCAAGATGATCTCTCCAGCTCCCAGGCAGGGACAGGTATTTGGTATGCAGAAGGGGGCCCCCCTTCTTTCTTTGAAAGAAAGCAAGGAGGTCCCAGACAACGGCCCTGGGGATATGCCAGCGTTGATCTCATTTTCTCAGAAGCCAAGGCAGTCCTGGTCTGGGCAGGGCTAGGATAGGGGCACAGAATGGAAGGGCTGACAAAAGGTGGTGAGCTGCCTGGGCAGCAGCTACCCTCCCCCATCCCATTCACCCCCCCTCCAGCCACGGGGCGCTACTGGGGGAATACCACCTTAACCCTAAAAAGACACAGGCATCCGAGAGAGAAATTGAACCGTTTATTGGCCTGGGCCTTGTCTCAGACATTGGAGGGGCATCTGGGGAGCTGAATGAGGGGAAGCAAGCCCCCAACTGGCTCCTTGCCCCCACCAAAGACCCTCCCAGCATTTGCATTCACAAAAAATCATTTTGAGGCATAATGTTTCCTTCCCCAAGGCGAGCCGCAGCCCAGCTCTCAAGTGGGGAAATGGGCCAGCAAATGGATGCTACTCTGTCTCTGGGGCCAGACCCCTCTTTGGCAGCTTCAACACAGACATAAGGAGACAGAGTAGCATCCATTCTGAGGAAACACGGTGGGGACGGGCAGTCACAGGCATCACATACACAAAAACACACACACACAGACACTGTCAGGCACACACATAAATATACATTTGTACCGCAACTGTCCTTCTATCTATCCACAGGATTTAGCAAAGTCCTGATGGGGCAGGTTGGGGGAGAGCCCCCACAAATGTCCTCAGCACCTCCACTCCATGCGCCATCCAATACAACTTGAAAGGAGGCACAGCGGGCTCAAGGCTGCCCTGCCTTAGGAGATGTGGTACCTTAGCCGGGCCTGGAGGTGGAAGGAGATTGGAGGTGGTTGTTTCTTGCGGGGTGGAAGGGTCCTGGGCTAACAGCTCTGCCAGACTTTCTCAAGTTCCACCCTGTGCCACTGAGAGACCCAGAGGCCTCTTCAGCCCCTGCACCCCGCCCCTGGACAGGTTTTTCTAGCCCTTGGTGATTTCTCTGGGCCCCAAATAGTGCAACTGGCCGATGAGGTCTGAAGATGGGGTTTGGCCCCCTCCCCCTCCAGCCCATAGTTTCCTGGCATCTTGTGGAGTAAGAGGAAAGGGAAGAAGTGGCTGAAGTGTCAGCTGGTGAAATTTGGGGAAGCTGTGGATTTGTGTCCAGGGAACTGTTAACCGGGGCTGCTCTGATGGTCAGGGAGGAGGCCTCTAGCCCCTAGGGATAGTGAGTGGTTCCAGGAAAGTGGCCTGAAGTTGCCAGAAGATGAGAAGAGACTAAGTTCAGAGAAGAGTCTGGCACAGGGCGGAGGACCAGACAGCCATGAAATGAAGTCCTTGGTACCAGGTTGTAAATGGCTGATGCCCAGAGCTCCGCTTGAGTGCCTGCCTGCTGCTGCCCGGACCCTTTCCGGGTCTCCCAGACCTCTCCGTGGTCCAGTTCTGAAGGGTCACGCCAGCCACTGCACTGGCCTCCAGGAACCTTCTGCAGCTCTACCTTCCAACCGGTCAGGGACTCAGCTGGCCATCCCAGCTACAAAAGATTTTCAGTATCAACCCAGGTCTGTGGAGTGGGCCATCTTGTTTGGCAGCCCCACATCTCCGTCTGAAGTCACCTGGCACCTCTCCATGGCACCCTCTGCCATGGCCTGGTTGTCAGCCCATTTGTCCCTCAGACCACTGTGTTGCCCTCCAGAATTGTGGGCGACGTGGGCATGTGGGTGCCCCTCTCCAGTGAGCTATAGCTGCGGAGGGGCAGGAGGTGGTGGCCTGGGGCCCCAACCCGCCGTCCCGGTACCCCCGCCGCCCTCTGGCAGCACTGCAGCGGCCGCAGTACCTCCCGCCGCAGGTCCCGGCTGCGCCACGTGTAGATGACAGGGTTGAGCAGCGAGTTGAGGGTTGCGAAGGCAAAAAAGTAATGGGCCTTGTAGAGGATAGGGCAGGAGTGCACAGGACAGGCGTAGTCCAGGAGGAGGATGATAAAAGCAGGCAGCCAGAAAACAATGAAGACACCGAGCACGATGGTGACCGTCTTGAGCAGGGCCAGTGTCTGTGGGCCAGCCACATCGGCATGACTGGAGCGGACCACACAGTAGATGCGGACATACAGAGCTACGATGGCCAGTAAGATGACAGAGAAGATGGTTACCACACAGAGCACGTAGTGCTTGGCGTAGAGCGGCAGAACGGTGGAGCAGGTCTCCAGGTGGCCCAGGCAGTTCCAGCCAAGGATGGGCAGGCCACCGAGAACCAGTGAGATGAGCCACGAGGCCCCAATGAGCAGCAGCATGCGGCAGCTCTTGTCGCTGCCATAGAGCTTGACCTTGGCGATGGCCACGTGACGCTCGATGGCGATGGCCAGGAGGCTGAAGACAGAGGCGGAGAGTGTGATGAAAGCTGAGCCCTCACGGGCGAACCACTGCACAGGTGTGAGCTGCAGCGTGACAGGGCCTGAGAGCAAGGTATTGGCTATAAAGGCCACACCTGCCAGCAGGTCCGAGGCGGCCAGGTTGCCCAGGAACAGGTACATGGCTGAGTGGAGCTTGCTGTTTCGGGCAACTGCGACGAGCACCAGCAGGTTCTCCACCACGATGGCACAGCACAGGGTGATGATGAGGGCTGAGGCCACCTGCCGGGACAGTGTCTCCTGTACGACTAGCGTCTCCTTGGTGTAATTGTAGTGCTCCTGGACCTTGGTGGTGCTTAGGTACTCCGAGTACAGGTTGCCCATGGCGGGGCTCAGTGGCCGGCCGGGGCCATCGAGCTGTCAGAGCTGCAGAGAGAAGGAGAGACAGACAGACAGACAGGTCAATGCCGTGGCTGCTGCCTGGGCTCTGACTTTGGACGTCCATGGGTCGAGTCCCAGAGCCATCACTCCTCACTGAGTGGCCACATGAGGTCAGAGTTGTCATGATCCCTTGCTTTACAGATAGGAAACCTGGAGAAGTCAACTGACTTTCCCAAAGTCTCAAAGTTAGTAGGTGGCAGAGCCAAAGAGACTTGCTCCAAAGCCTCTATAATGTCTAGGCTACCCTGTCTCTCAGAAGTTCCCCCAAATGGCATGAGGGATACAAAGCAGACTTCCAGAAGCCTTGCCTGCCTACCCAGAGAGCAAGCTGTGGGAGGAACTAGAGGGCTTGCCTTGGGCTTGGTGCCAGCTGCCAGCCTGGGTCAGAGAGATGCTTGATGCTGATAGCACTGCCTTACCACCCACTGCCCTAGATTTCAGGCTGGGTATAAGCCTTGAGGTCATGGGTGCTCCCCAGATAAAGTCTTGGGGAGACACCAGGGCAGCCCTGAGGTTCCGGCAGCCCAGAGGTCACGTCATCTTAAAGGACATAGGCCTTGAAGGCAACCTTGGGTTCAACCCCACTCCACCTCTGGCATGCTGTGGGATCTTCAGTAAGTCAATCAATATACAGCCTCAATGTCCTCATCTGTGCAATGGGGAAAAGAAAGCCCACTTCATAGGGGCGATAAGAAAGTCCTGTTGAATGACACCTGAGGAACCCTTAGCACATAGCAAGCACTCAGTAAATGTTATTAGCTCCCTTTTCCCTATCACACGCTGCTTGGGACTACGTGCCCTCCACCCAACATTTTGGGAGGGGATGTTGACTGAGCCAGCCAGGCGAGATTCCCAACAGCCTGTTCTCATGAGCACCATCTAGCCCTGCCCTTAGACAGAGGATCCAGAAGGGTAGGCAGGGCACTGGCACCCCCCTCCCAGGCAGGATGAAATCCAGATGTGAGGCCCCTGGAACAAACAGGGTGGAGTCCTTGCTCCCCAGTCACATCCGCTGCGGGGGAAAGCTGGAAGGAGGTGATGGGATAGAGGAGCCACAGGAGGCCAGTCTGGGAGGTCCTGGCTGGGAGGCTGGGGCAGCTGTGTTGAAGTCCTATGAGGGGTGAGGGGCGTACAGCCCCACGAGGAGGGGGGCCGGGGATGGAGCAGTATTTGTTTCCATGAAAGCCAGGAAGAGGGGCAGAGAGGATGATGCAAGGCAAGGCCCACATCATGGCGTCCCTCCAGCTTGGGTGGGAGGGCGGGGGCTGTCTCAGAGGAGCTGGTGCAGTGTCTGCCTTTCATGAGGGGAGCCGTTAGCTAAAGGAGGGTGGGGGATGGGGCACAGGAAGAGCCCTCCCCAGGTCCCTGGAAACATGTCTGGCAAGGCCTGGCAAGAACCACACGTGCGTCAGGAGCCGAGTTCCAGGAAAGGCTGGTCAGGCCAGTTCCTAGTGAGCCCTGGAGTGATGGGGGACGTCTGGGGTCGCTCAGCCAACTCTGTCTGGGCCCTCAGAGGGGTGCCCTGGACATTGGCCTGATAAGAGAGGCAGCTGCCCCCCTTGGGCGAAGGGACATCCGTCCTAGTTAGGGAACAGAGAAGGGTTTGTGCACTTCCCCGGGGAATGCCGCCCTGCCCAGATCGTCACACAGAGAGGCCCCTTGTTCCTGTGCAGGACAGGGCCTCGGGCGCCCCGATGCCCTCTGCAGCCAGCCAGAAGCTGGCCTGGCCCTACCAGATCCACTGTTGGGCCAGAAACAGCCTGCACCGTGACTGGCTTATTTTCAATCCCAGGGCACTGAGCTATTCAATGATTGGCCTCATCTTTTCATCCGCTGCATCGGACTGGTCGAGTCGGGGGCGCTCTACAGCTAGCACTACTGATCTGGTCCTTTCCAGAAGGCTAGAACTCACTTCTTTCTGAGGAGAGTTAAAACTATGTGAATGTCCCTGGGGAGAGTTTGAACTGCGGTCTGACCGCCGGGTCACCCCGACCAGACGCCCCCAGGCTACTCTGGCCTACTGGGCCTTCCTGGGATTTAAAATTGAGAATCAAGGACCCCTCACAGGGTCTGGGAAGCACCCTTGCTAGTGGAGCCAGAAGCCCAGGGCATGTCCCATGGCGACCCTCTCCTTCCCTGAAGTGGGGCCACCACCCTCTCCAATCTGGTGGCCAAGAGAAAGATTTATGGCCACTTCCCGAAGAAATAAGAACTGGGTTCAGCCTTCAACCCCAGGAACTGACCAAAAAGTTTGTCCTCTTACCTAAGAGGGAAGACTGGGGCACCGCACCCTCACTCTCTGCAGCCCCAAGAGGCTCTCCTAGTTAGAAAAGGGGAAACTGAGGCCCATACTGTCTCATCTTTCCAACTAGGATTTTGCTAAATATAAAGCAGGAGCTTAAGGAAGGTTGGTGCTTTCCAGAAAGAGGAAGCCAGCTGAGGTTGGGGCTGGCACATGCACGCCTTGCCTGCTTCTCTTCCCTGTGTCGGTTCCCGGGCCTGGCTACACTCAGGACCTGTCTCCAGCGTGCCTTCAGCAAGGCAGCCCTGACTCCCTTCCAGAGGCTCAATAAGAGGTCACTGGGCTCAAAACCAGGGAATGGCCATGCCTGAAACGGAGCAAGAGGGACAAGCAACAGGGTTTGGAGAGAAGGGAAGAGAAACTGATCAAGATTGTTCAGGGTGAGATTAGGAGGCAGGAAGGCGGGAGGAAGCTCAGTGGCTTCCAGGAGCCCCTTCCTCAAGTTCCATCGAGGCAGGTGTGGTTAAGTTCCCTGGGTCACTTATTGATCCCGCACTTCTTGTCCTAGGACAGTATTCACACTTCGTTTTGGTTTCTCTTCAGCTGTCAACCCCCCCCCCCCGCCCCCGCAGCGCCATTCTCCATACAGCAGCCAGGGGGAGCCATTTAATTTAGATCTCCAATATGTCATTCAGCTCCAAATTCTTTCATGGCTCCCAACTGCCCCAAATGGCCTGGTTCCTGCCCAGTTAGCCTCCCTCCACTCTTCCCCAGGATCATGCTATTCCAGACACACTGACCTCCTACCAGCCAACCACCCCTCAGAGCCTTTGCTCCTGCTATTCCTCCACCTGACATGCTCTTCCCCCAAAACCTTGAATGACTGTCTCATCTTTCAAGCTTCAGTATTAAAGCCACTTGCTCTGACCACCAGTCTATTACAGCCGTCTTCACCAGGCCCTTTCTGCCACAGCATCTTACTTTGTTATCTTCAGAGCACTTGGCAATTTTGAAAAGTATGATTGTACAATATTTCAAGTCTTCTGTCTGGCTTCTGCAGTAGAATGCAAGTGTCAGCAACCAAGTCCATTTGCAGCCCCTTTGGAATGGTACCTAGCATACGGAAGGTACTCAGAAAACATGTGGGATGGATGAATGGATGGGTGGATGTATACAGATGAATGACAGGAACCAAAACACCAGCGAAAAATGAATGAGGCTCCAGTGGGCCCTGGAGGGTGGAAACTCTTAAACTCAGCCCAGCCCCAACAGCAGAGGCGGCTGGAGATGCCCCGATCTGCCGGCAGTCCTTCCTACCGGCGAAGCCTCCTCGGAGACAGCGACAGGACCCGCCCCCACCCTCGGGCCACAGTCTCAGCCTCCTTATCTGGCGGTGGAATGCACGGTATCCACACTCCAGGCCCCAGGGGCCGCACCTCCTCTCTATTGCGACCGCCACACGCGCGCGGGACCTCCACGTCTACAAGTGGGGTTGGGGGACTCCTCTCAGTCTCGCCAGGGGCCCTGCCACGATATTCGCAGAGGACTTGGGGGGTGTGGTGGGGGTGATCCCAGCCTCAACCGCACTGCGAATGCCGCACCCGCGTCGCGCCACGAGGAAGAGTGTGGGCTCAGCGCGTGGCACCTGGAGCATCTGACTAGAACAGTTCGGGGAGCGGGTGGAAATCCCCGGGTGAGTCAACTAGTGCCGGGGGAGGGGGCGAGGTCCTGAAGCTCTCTGGGCCCCGGGACCCAGCGGGGCCCGTGCCACGCGTGCCTGCACCCATGCCCCATACCTGGGCCCCAGGGGAGAGAAGAGGCGCCCGATTCACACAGTCACGTTCCCTTTCCTTCCAGAACAAAGCCACATCCCCCCGGAGGAACTGAAGAAGACTACTCGAAGAAACTGAGGCAGAGAGCCAGACGTGCAGATGGTGACCGTCTGTACTACTCGAGAGCCCCGCCCCTTGCCTTGGAGAATCCAAGGCGTACAGCGCCTTTTGCCCCGCCGGAGTCAGCCAAGAGGGGCGCCCTACCCACCTCCTACACACTCCCCAAACTCCCCGGGCAAGCTGTCCTGCCTCCCAGTCTCCGGCCAAAAGCGCTCGGATTCCGCCTTTTCGGCACCAACTTCCTGCCCCTGGGTAAGGCAGTGAGTAAAGTCCTGGGGTCCGCGGTCGGGCCGTAAGGGCCGCCTGGCACTGTGAGTAGGGCGCACAACGACCACTCCCTCAGCGCAGCAGCAGCACGGTGGCGCGTGCGCGCCTCGGTGAGCCCCCGATCCCCGGCCGGGCCCCCTGGCTCGGATCCCGCCGCCCGAGAGGACCCGGCCGCCTTTTTTGCCTCCCCCTCGCCACGCATGCTCACCTGGTTAGGCGGGCCCGGGTCCCTGCCCTGGCCGGAGAGGGATCTGGCGTCTGCGTCCCCGGGACTGCCGCGGCTGGGGCTAGGGCTGCCCGCCGGGCTGGCTGCGTCCCGGGGCTGGGGACCAGGAGGGAGCGGGGGGCGGGGAGAGGCACCGCCTCGGGCCCCCCCTCGCCCCGCCCTCCTCTCCTCCCCTTTCCGGCGGTAGCAGCAATGAATTCCAGATGTGGCCTGCAAGCCCGGAGCGCGCCAGGGCTGGTGGGGGTGGTATGCGGGTCCCTTTGTCCGCGCCCCCACCCCCGCCCTGTTCCTCCCAGCCCCCTCCCGTGAGAACCTGCTGGCGCGTGACGTCATTCAGCCTCGTGACTTCATGTTGCTCCTGGCCAGGTAGCCTGAACCTCAAACAGCTGTCTCCAATTACAGACGTACTCTTGGCACATCCCTGGGACCCTGGGATTGGAGGACAGCATGGGATCCCCTTTATTTACTCAACAAGGAGCCATGAAGCACCTACTATGTGTTAAGGCAGTAAGTAGGCATTAAGTGCCTACTGTGTGTTCATTTAAAAAAACAAGTGCCATGCCCTTGTTCCCAAATACAGAACTGTTTTGAGCGTTGATAGGATCTGGGAATTCAGACACTACCTTCTCTACCCTGGAAGACTGGATGCAACCAACAGCCTACCCTGCCCTCACTGGCAGTTAACCGGCAAGCCCAGGTCGAGCCCTGCCTGGCAAGCTGGGGACAACACTCTATTGGATTCCGCGTGTGTGTGTGTGTGTGTGTGTGTGTGAGAGAGAGAGAGAGAGAGAGAGACAGAGAGAGAGAGAGAGAGAAAAAAAGAAGAGAAGATAAGAGACACTGATTCATTGTTCTGCTTACTTATGCATTCATTGTTTGATTCTTGCATGTACCCTGACCAGAATCAAACCTGCAACTTTGGCATACCAAATACATTAAACATCTGGTACATATCGGACACTATTCTATAGGATGGCAACAAATCAGGGAACAAAACAGGCAAAACTCCCTGTCCCCTGTGGAGCTGATGATCTACTGGATATGCACGGAATAACCAGAATATTGCAAGAAGAAACTGGTAAATTTCCTGGGAGAGGACCTTAAAGATGGGGACAGGGCATGGGACAGAGGCTGCTTTCACTCAAAAATCCTTTTGACTATTGTAGCCTGTGCATATTACTGTAACATCTTTAATCATTCCAATAATAAATTAAATTAGGAAATTAAGCCTGCTTGATACCCAGACAGTGCAATAAAAGGAAGAGAAAAGATGGGTGTACTCTTCTGTATGTATATTACACTTCAAAAAAGCAAAATGATGAAAGGATACCTACATTCCCATATTCATTGCTGCATTATTCACAATAGCTAAGACATGGAAACAACCTGTGTCCCCCAATGGATGAATGGATAAAAAAAATGTGATATATGTATATAGATATATATGTCCATATATATAATTTTCCACTTATAATTCCATCTATTAAAAAAAAAATGGGCCAGTAGAGTAATAATATGGGTGTAATAATTTATAGTTTTAATTTGAACATTTTACCTAAAATGTCATATTGTGTGCTTTAATGTGATTTTGTTATAGAATTCTAGATTTTGTTATAGACTTTGTAATAAAAGATTTTGTAATAAAAATAGGGGCGTTACTTGTGCCAGACGCCTGGCTATAATGGAATATTACCCAGATTTAAAAAAGGAGGAAACCCTGTCATTTGCAGCAACATGGGTGGACCTTGAGGGCATTATGCTGAGTGAAATAAGCCATAGAGAAAGACAAATAGTGCATGGTATCACTTATATATGGGATCCAAAAAATAAAGTCAAACTCAGAAACAGAGTAGGAAAATGGTTGCCAGGGGGCTGGAGTTGGGGGAATAGGGAGAGGTTGGTTAAAGGATACAAACTTTCAGCAATAAGATAAATAATGTTGGAGAATCTAATGTGAAACATGATGACTATAGTTGCTAATATATGATATAAATGAAATTTGCTGAGAGTAGAATTTAAATGTTGATACACACACCACACAAAAACACAGATAAATATGGGAGGCAATGGATGTGTTAACCCAATGGGTGAATTTTTCAGAATGTATACATAGATCAAATCACTACGGAATGTGCTTTAAATATCTTAGAATTTTATATGTCAATGATATCTCAATAAAGCTGAAATTAAACAAACGAAAGTTAAAGCTGCTTGATACCCAGACAGTGCAACCCATAAAGAAGAGGTAGGTGTACTCTCCTGAATGCATGTTATACGCTTCATAAAGAGTGTTGAAAAGCAAAATGATAAAGGAAATTAAAATGGACTCATTAATGTGTATTACAAAATTAAAATGGGTAGTCTTGCTTTTTTAAATCCTCGCTCAAGGATATGTTTATTGATTTTACAGAGAGAGAAAGAGAGAGGGAAACACTGATGTGAGAAATGTCAATTGGTTGCCTCACTTCCACACCCCAACCGCGAATCAAACCGGCAACCCAGGCACGTGCCCTGACCGGGTATGGAACCGGTGACCTTCAGTGCACAAAACTATGCTCCGACCCACTGAGCCACACAGACAGGGCTGGAGTGGCCTTATTTGTACTGATGTGAAACTGTCTTCAACATGTGAAGTTGAAAAAACCGCAATGTAGACCAGTTTGCATTGTTTGTCTGAACTCCTGGGTATATTTATAAGGACGGTATAAATAAACACACATTTGCCTGGGGCTCACAGGCCATCTCTGCGAGAAGGCAGGAGACTCCGGTCACACGTGCTTAACTGGCAGAGAAGAAACCATGAGCATGAAGGTTGTTTTCCCAGGGTGAGGCTTACCCCTTGCCCTCTGGACATGCTGACCCCTGGGATGTCCCCCAATGTGTGAAACTCGACTGCAGAATTTGTGGTAGTAGGAGACTGTGTTCGAGCTTTCCCCTGAAAAAGCCAAAACCAAAAATGACACCCATCACAGTGGTGAACCTCAGGGAAGGGAGCTGGGGGGCAAGGGAACAGGTGAGAGGGCAACGAGGCTTTTCATCTATGTCCTGCGGTGCTGTTGTAAATTTTTAGCTCATATTATCAATTCAAAAAATGTACAAAGACATGAAAAAATCAAATAAAAGGTAACAAATGACCAGATTTCTAGTTGTAAAATCATTCCTGTAATACTAATAAATAATACAAGAAAATAACATGGTTTATAAAGAGATCAATATTACTACTCAACATATCAATATTAACAAATTTATGTTAAGAATAAACCTGTTTACATGATTAAGAAATGCATATTAAGAATCAATGTATTAATGCTACATATATGCATGCAACATATATATTCATATAATGCAACAACCTAAAATGTTCTGTGCTGGCTCTAGTGGTGTCTCATTGGTTTTTGCCATCCACATTTGAGAGTCTGATGGAGGAGACAGAGAAGAAACCAGATTGTTCTAACACAGAGCAACAGGGTTGTGATGCAGAGATAAGAAAAGTCAGACAGTGACTTTGCTCCTTTTCCTGAGCCAGATTTCAACGTCCACTTGGTTCCCGGCCATATCATGGGGTCCACCGGAACCTCAGCAAAATCTCACTGACTGCTCTGCCAAGTGAAGCGTGTTGCCTGGGCAACCTCTCCAAACCAGGTGTTCAACACACAGGGGACAAGACACGGAGAAAACTGGGTCCTCTTCTCGACAGAATTATCAGAGCGGAAATCTCAGCCGTCTGTGGAGACCTGAAAGCGGGGGAGGAAGTGCCCCCCCTCCAAACTTGCCTGAGCTGGCTCAGCAGTTTGCCGCCCCTCCAGGGACCTGGGGGCGGGGGTGATGTCAAGGCCATGGACATATCTGGCATCTGTTAGGGAGGCCATGGCTCCTAGACAAAGATGGTACACCCACAAGCAATTTCTGTCTCCCCTTCCTGCCCCTTCCACCTCCCACTTCTGGGGCAGTACAAGGTCTCCCACTGGGTCAACTGAGGAAAGAGACTGGAGAACTGGAAAACACTGGAGGCCTAGGTTTCCCGATAGTTTGGGGTGGGGGTGGGGGGTCAAGGGGAAAGCTGGGTCCTGCTCTAGGGAGGTTCCTCCGAGAGAAAAGTGGAATAGGAAGGAAACGGCCCTTCTCTTGAGGAGCCACTGGGAAGGGAAAATAGAGGTGAAGAGATTTGGACCAGCCCCCACTAATCATAGAGCCACTGACAATAACGGCTAAAGCTCACACGACAGAGACCACGCTGGGTGTGGCTCTATGAACCCTCATGACCCTAGGAGGTGGGGGACATTATCACCCTCCCATGGTTTTAAACAAACTTTATTTTTAGAACAGTTTTAGGTTCACAGTAAAATTGAGGGGAAAGTACAACAATTCCCCACGACTTCAAAGCCTGCCCCACTATGGACATGGTGCCACAGAGGTACTTTTGTTATAACTGGTTGACACCTACATTGACACACATTATCACCCCAAGTCCAGAGTTTACACTGCATTTTGTTCTTGGTGTTGTGCTTTCTGCGGGTTTGAGCAAACGCATAATGATGTGTTCTCCCTACTCGTTCCTCCCTCCCCCCCAAACCCAAGGTAACCCCCCATTTTTTTCACTGTCTCCATAGTTTTGTGTTTTCCTCATCACCCCAATTTAAAGATGAAGAAACTGAGGTCCACAGTAGTGTGAGGATTTGAGTTTTTCCACCCCCAGTCCTCACCCTGGTCCTGAAGCAGCGGCTCCCTTCCCTGCCCCAGAGGTTCAGGACAGAAGGGTGACGGTTACTACTCAGGACCACATGGGTCATTGGTGATATAGGATGCTCTTCTCTGATGCTCTTCCAGCTGAGGGGAACCCTCCGATCTCTGATTTTTGTGAGCTCCCCCCAATCAGTGAGGCCACAGGCCTGTCCTCAAGCCTCTCTAGGCCTCCCCTGTACACGCACTCCCCAACCTTCGGCTTTTGGCTGGAGAAATTGCCTAAAAAGAAATGTCCGAGACAGGCCCCGACTTTCTCATCATCACCCCGGCACTGGGGGAAGGGGCCCCAGCTGCAGAGAAGCTTTCCAGATGCTGATCTTGGCAGGCGGTGGAGTTACAGCCGCCTCGCCTCGCCTCGTCTCCTTCATCCATGGGCTTGGGGCCCGCTTTCAGCTTCAGGGATAGGCTGGGGAGGCTCCCAGTGGAGGCCAGTTCCTGCCACGTCTGCACCAGATGCAGTCTTGGCCCTTCCAGCCTGGAGAGGGTGGGCTTTCTCTTCCGGACCAGAGAGGCGTGCATAGTTAGGGGAGAGGGAAACACCAGAGGCCCGCTTCTCAGCAACAGCCCCTCTCCCGCCAACCCAGCATAATAGTAACAGCTGATACATATACACTGTGCCAGTTTTTGTCCTAAATGTTTAGCAAATACCAACCCATGAAAAGCTCACAGCAGCTGCCTCAACTAGGGAATGAGTAGACAAACTGCAGTCCATCCTTACACAGAAGATCACTCAGGAATATATTTGGAAACACTAGTTCAAAAAGGAAGGAACTAGTTATAAATAACAACATGGATGAATTTCAAATGCATTATAAAAAGGGAAAGAAGCCACACACAAAAGGCTACATATTGTATTATTCCATTTCTATTTCAAGGCTACATACCTTGATTGTGGTGGTGGTTATATGACTATATATCTTTGTGGAAACTTGCAGAACTGTATGCTGAAAAGGGAAAACTTTATTGTATCTCAATTGTATCTTAAAACAAAAAAATAAATAAAATCCCTCACAGCTGCCTTAAGTCATGAAAACAGAAGTACCTCAAACAGAGGGGACTTAATACAGGGGTTGGTTAGCATAGATTAAAAAACCAAAGCTTACATAGGGTTAGACTATTTAGCAATTAGCACATAGTGGGGCCTTGTCCAGTGGAAGATGCTGCCAGCAGCAGTTGGGAAGAAAATATTCCGGTTTCTCCCAGCCTCCTGCTTTCCAGTCTACCCCTCAGTGCCTGCCATTGGGAAAATCTGGGCAGAAGCCAGAGGACAAGGGAGATGTGTGCAGGGTCAGCCCCTAGCCATGGGGTGGGGGCAGAGCGGGAAATGGGTGATCTCAGGGCACACAGGCTCAAGCTGGGCACAAACCAAGTGAAGTAGGGGCAATTATACCCCATTTTACAGAGCAGGAGACTGAGGCCCAGTGAGCCCATGCTCTGCCCAGGGTTTCAGGCCTGAGAAGGGTCTGAATCTCTGCCAAGACCTGACTGGAGTGCTTTTTTCCCCTCCAAATTCCTGTTGTGGCTAAACTGAAGGGAACTACAATGAAACGGAATGGAAATAGCCATGCAAATCAGGTCCAACCCCAGGGGTGGGGAGACGGGTGGCTCAGTAGGAGACTGTTCCTCCTGGGCTTGGCATTACCACAAACTGAGCTGAAAGTCGGTGGCAGATGCTTTGGCAGCCAGTGGAGGGGAACTTTAGACAGCCCCCGCTATAGGTCAGATCCTCCCATCAAGCCTGCACCCACGTTCTGCATCTCCTGAGGGCTGCACCCTATATTCCAGTCTTGACCTCTTACCTCCGTAAAAACCCTTGGACAGTGATGGAGGGGGCAAGGAATGGCCAAATGTACGACGCTGTGTGTGTTCCCTAAATTGCTATCATGCCCACGGCTAGCAGAGAACCTTTCCAGGTCTCAGGGCTGACGCTAGAGACAAAGGCTGACGCAGTTGAGCCTTTGATCCACAGGAGTGGGCTGGGCATGTTAACCTTTAACTTCTACCCAGCCTTGGGCCAAAATGTTCAAACTTTGAGGCTTGCAGTATGCAGGTCTCAAAGCCATTACCTCTCTTTCATTAAGGCTCATATTATGTTGGAGGTGCGGGAGAGGAGCCCTGTGCAAAGTGCTTTCTCTACATTCCGTTTGTTCAATTACTATGTATGGAGAGCATACCGGGTGCCCGGCACCCTCCTGAGCAATGGAGTCCAGCAGTGAAAGAAACAAAGGACCCTGTCTTCTAGGAGCTGACGTTCTAGTGGGAGAGACAGACAAGCCTCAGGAAAATAAGAACATAATGTTATCTGTTAGTATATGGTCAAAGTTCTGGAAACAAATGACACCGGTGAAGGCAGATGAGGAATGTAGGGTAGGAAGGGAGCAGTGATTTTAGACCCAGTGTCACCTGAGAAGGTGACATTTGAACAAAATACCTCAAGAAGTTGATGCAGTGAGCCATGAAGATATTCAGGGCGACTGGTCCAGTCAGAAGGACTAACAGGTGTAAAGGCCCTGAGGCTGGCGTGGGATTGACAGGTCTGGTGATAAGACCACCGCGGCCAGAAACCAGAGTAACAGAGGGGGACGGAAGGAGGATTGACGAGTCCTGCAGAGTCTTGTGGGATGCAGTGAGGACTCTGGCTTTCGGTCTAAGTGAAATGGGAAGTGTGGAGGGTTCGGAGCAGAGGAGGGACATGATCTGACTCCTGTTTATAGGTTCCCTCTGTGGGAGAAAGAAGACTGTGGGGAGTGAGAATGGAAGGAAAGAAAACTCTGATCCTCCACACAGCGCAGTAGGGGAGGGCTTGTGTGTGTCACACTTACTAATTAGGAGACCACACTCCAGAAGAGCTAGCCACTTGCCCAGGAACACACAGCCAGTTAGCAGTAGGCCCTGGATTTGAACCTGCATCTATGTGACTCCCATGCCATTGGGTAATCATTTATTGGGTATTTTATGTGCTGGGGACTTCAGGGGACTAGACCTTAAGACCCAGGAGACAAAGGGAGGGCTTTCTCTGTTTCTGATAATACCCCAGCAACAGAGCAATGAGAGAAGGAATTCACTTCAGAACGTTTTGAGCCCCTACTTGCTACGGGCACTAGGCTGGTGCTGGGCTACATCAGGGAACAAGCAGGAGCAAAATTTCTGCCCTGGGGAAGTTTATACTCTAATGGGAGAGACAGACAAAAAACATTAAAAAAAATGGGATTTAAGGGGGGAAAATAGATTTTATTTATTTATTTTTAGAGTGGGGAAGGAAGAGAGGGAGAGAAACATCAATGTGTGGTTGTCTCTTGCACGCCCTCTACTGGCGACCTGGCCCGCAAACCAAGCGTGCCCTGGGCTGGGAATAGAACCCATGACCCTTTGGTTTGGAGGCCAGCAATCAATCCACTGAGCCACCCCAGCCAGGGTTGAAAAATGGGACTTTTTTAAAAAAGGGAAATTATATAGGATGTTAGCACATAAATAGTCATAGAAAAAAATAGGGCAAGATAAGGGAATCAAAAGAGTCAGGGGTGGGGACTGCAGTTTTAAACGGGATAGCAAAGGCAGGCTTCTTGCTGGAGATGACCTTTGGGCAAAGAATCCAAGCAAGTGAGGAATTGAGTCATGTGAAGGTCTGGGAAAAATACATTCTAGGTGGAAGGAGGGCTGTGGAATTTTAGACACACCTGCAGTCACTCTTTTAGGGATACTTGTGCAAAGACCCTGAGTTGGGTTCAACATAAATGAATGAATCAACAAAGAAAGCTTGGTGGCCATGAGAAAGGTCCAGTTTCATTCACCCCACCCCGCCTTTGTAACTTCTGTTCCCTCAGCCCAGAATTCATTTTTTTCCCCTGCTCTGGACAAACTGCCAGTGGACTCTTAATCCTTAGTTCTCAGGTTACAGCTTCAGAGAAGTCAACTGAGACATCGTCCTCACCCATTCTTTCTTTCCCTGGGTTCCCACACGCCCTGAGGACTTTTCCTCTCCCCCATTCTGATCCCTCAGCCTTCTTCACTGCACTGTGTGTCATGGGTTTCCCCTGGATTTATCCCAGCTGTACACAGTAATCATGATGCAACCAAGTGCCATTCCATCGTTCACCACATAAAATCTAAACTCCCTGGCACAGGATATACTTGTAAATCTACCTGTAAAGTCATAAACTGGTTCTGAGAGGAGACACACAGCTGTTTGTGGTGGTGGCTTCTGGGAAGAAAACTGAGTGGGTGACAGGGGACAGAGGTTAGAGAAGAGAGACTTTTCACTCCAATTATCCTTTTGCAGTTTTTGAAAATTTCTTTACCAGATATGTGGATTACCTATGCAAACATAAAATGAATAAATAAAATTCTACAAAATAAAGGACTAAAAGATCTTTTTAAATTGCAGAGTGTGGAGTTTTATTTTTTTAAGATTTTATTTATTTATTTTTAGAGAGTGGGGAAGGGAGGGGGAGAGAGGGAGAAAAATATCAATGTGTTGCCTCTCACATGTCCCCTGCTGGGGACCTGACCCACAACCCAGGTAAGTGTGCCCTGACTGGGAATTGAACTAGCGACCTTTTGGTTCACAGGCTGGCACCCAATCCACTGAGGCACACCAGCCAGGGCAGAGTACAGAGTTTTAAACACAATTCACAGTTATTCTTGCAGGGATAGAATATATGATGAAATACTTTGTAAATTTTCATTAATACTTCATATAAATATCTGTTATATATCCGATGCAAAAAAAAAAAAAGCCCACATCCTTAGCTTATCATTCAATTCCTCCAGAGTCCACACCCATCCCCGCTTTGCTTCTTGCCTCACTTTGATGACAAAATTCACCTTTAACAACAACAATAATAATGCTACATATGAAGTATTCGCCTTGTGCCAAGCATGGCACACTTTGCTTCCATTATATCATTGAGGTCCCACAACCGCCTCATTTTTCAGATAGGAAAACTGAGGATGTCTGTAATACCATGTTATCAGGCCCTGATAACTTGACCTCAGTCCAGACCACACTGGCCTGCAGGTGATCAGGCTTGACCAGGCAGGGAAGAATCCTATGGGCTCTTGGCGCCCCTTGGAGGTCATGCGGAGAACGTGGCAAAGAACCTAAAAAGAGGATTTCTGTTGAGGGGGTGGGCAACGAGAGAGAGGCAATCCAGGACCTGTTCGCTACCTCCTCTGAGAGCCCTGTCAGGTCTCGGGGCGGGGGGGGGGGGGGTGAGACAGAGACCTAATCTGAGGGGACTGACGAGGACACAGCCCCGTAGTGGGGGATCTAAGCGGACAGGCACCGTCCGGCAGGTTCAATCCTGAAGGCTTTCTGTAGGAGATAAGGGCCTGAATCGTGTAAACAAACCACCTCCGAGAGTCTCGGAAGCTAAAAGGATGGGGCGGGGGAAAGAGGGGGCCTGGGAGGGGGGCGTGGCTTACACCGGACTCCTTCGGGGCGTGACCCAGGAGGGCAAGGCCTACGGAGGGGGTGGGGCTCCTTGCGGTCGCGTTCCCAGGCGTCGCAGAGGGTCCTTTAGGCTCGGAATGAAGACTGGGGTCTGGCGATTAGTCTTGGGGAGGCGGTGGGGGCACGCTGGGCCTGGCCCGGCGTCGCGTCCTCACTCTAGCATGGTCTGCTTTCGGCGCCGAATCTGAGCGGAGCAGGCGGTGTCGCGAGCGTGACGTAATCGCTAGGCGCCGTGAGAGTGCGGAGGGAGTCTTGACCTCTTCAGCGTGCGGTGCTACGCCGCAATGTTGCGGCTAGTCCGGGCCGGGGCGCGGGCCTGGCTTCTGCCCACAGGCTGCCGGGTGAGGCCGGTGACTGGGGGCGGGATCGGAGGACAAAGGTTGGAGGGTCCAGGAGTCGTCTCTCACTCTTCGTCCACCGTTTACAGGGCCTGAACGCACTGGTGGAAGAGGCAGTACAGCCGCCGGAGAAGCCAGAGCCTGTGGCGAGCGCGGGTGAGGTTGACCGGGTGACCCCAGGAGGAGCGGCGCCCCGGACCTTTAAGCCTTGTCCCTGACTCCTGACTTCCCAACCTCAGGTCTCCAGGCACCGGTGCTGCGCAAGTGCGAGCTCCCGGTACCCGCACACCGACGTCCTGTGGAGGCCTGGATCGAGTCCCTGCGGGGCTACGAGCAGGAGCGCGTGGGCTTGGCCGAGCTGCACCCTGACGTTTTCTCCACGCCGCCCAGGTGAATGAGAAATGAAATGGTGAACTGGGTGGCAAAGGGACGATGAACACGGGCTTAGGAATCAGGTTAACCCGGGCTTGAGCCTCAGTTTCTCCACCTGTCGAAAGGGGATGATGGTTTTCCCTGCTGCAGCATGGTGAGTTGAGAGCTGAGAGGAAACATCCTCTAGGCCGGTTAAGGACGCAGAACTCTGGAGCCTACGGGGGTTAAGGGCGCAGAGCCTCTTTCAAACCCTGCCTTCCCCCATTGTGCTTTAGTGCATACATTCTGTCAAACATCAAGAGGTTGCTGTGATGATTAAGTGAGTTAATTCTGGCACGTAGTAAGTTCTGTATGAATGTTGATTATCGTTGCTGTTACTGGTTTTTGCAAAAATCAATCACAAACTGTCTAAATCCTTACTGTGTGCCTATTTACATTTTAGTTAATTAGATCTCGTAGCAACCCTAGGAAGGGGTTCTGTTATCCTTATTTTGTAGGTAAGGAAACTGAGCACAGACAGGTTAAAAAAATTGTCCAAGGTCATACAGCTTGTAAGCTTTAGAGCCAGAATCTCAACCTTATGTGGGCCAGCTACCAGGGCTGCGTTATTGCTGGCACAGGTGTAGGATGCCTCTCCATGTACATGGTGTCTGGCACATAGTAAGTGCTATTAATTTGTTATTCCTACTGTTATATGTATGGTTTGTCCCTGGCTGTACAGAGTCTTAATCTAGTAGAGGGTGACAAAAATAATTTAAAACAACACATTTTATTCTGTAAATATTTATGGAGCACCTACTATGTGTCAGATTCCATTGTAGGTGTAGTGAATGAACACTGATACTGCTTACAGTCTAGAGCAGGGGTCAGCAAAGTTACTGGTCAGTAAAGGGCCAGATAGTAAATATTTTAGCCTTTGCAGACTATGACATCTCGTGGCAACTATTGATATCTGCCAATATAGTGCAAAAGCAGCCATAGATGATACATAAACAAATGAGCATGGCTGTCTTGCAGTAAAACATATTTACAAAAAGAGGCAGCAGGCCAGGTTAGGCCTACTAGGCATAGTTTTCCAACCCCTAACAGACTAACACCTTGGCAGCTGTGTCCAGTGTAGCCACACAATGTGTAATTTAAATTCTTCTGGTAACAACAGTTTTTAAAATAGGAAGAAACAAGCGAAATTGATTTCAGTGATATATTTTACTTAAACTGATAGAGCTAAAATATTGTCATTTCAGCATGTGGTACTCGTCACATTTTAGGCGTTCAGTAGCCACCCATGCATGTGGCCAGTGTCTGCTGTATGAACATGGGGCTAAAGAGTCAGACCAGTACATAAAGAAGGTGGCGTTAAGTCAGCTATAGTGGTAGGAAAGAAGAAAGTTGAGAAGGAGGAACGTGCAAGGGGGCCCCTCTGAGAGATAATGTTTAGGCTGAGACCTGTATGCTGAGAAGGAACCAGCCAGGGGAAGGGTATTTCAGATGGAGGAAACAGCAAGTGCGAAGCCCTGGAGGCCAGACTCCCATTTCACAGAATGGAATGGTGGGGGCGCTGGAAGTGGCAACACCCAAGGTCAAAAAAAGACAAGGGCAGATCACACAGAGCCCTGGAGGTGGAAGGGAGGAGCCTGGGCTCTCATCTAGTAGGGTGGGGGTTGTGGGAGGGTTTTAAGTGGAGGCAGACCTCTCCTGTACCCTTCCTGCACAGGCTGGATATCCTGCACCAGGTGGCCGTCTGGCAGAAGAACTTCAAAAGAATTGTAAGTGTTCAGAGTGGGATAAGGTGGCTCTTAAGCGGGTTTTCTCTCTCAGGCACATCTTCTCTGGCCTAACCATTCACTGATGGGTCATTTGCCAGGCATTTTTCTGAACACCCACTATGCACCGGGCATTGCCAGGAGCAATCCCTTCCCTCAGGAAGCTCACAGCCTAGTTGGAGATTTGAACGTGAATCCAGTACTTATACCTGTAGATGTATAATTAGGGAAGTTGTCCCACAGAAAGGGGTATTTAACGTCAGGTGTGTAGTAAGAGTAGGTAAAGGGGATAGTGTTGCTGGGGTGGAGGTAGTGGGATCAGCACATGCAAAGACCCTGTGGCAGGGACTGCAAACAGCCCAGTGTGACCTAGAGGTCAGGAGGAGCAACGGTAAGGAGCTTGGATTTTATGCCAAAATCATTGAAGAAGCCATTATCAATCAGGATCTCTCTGCCTTCCATCTGCCTACCTCAGAAGCCCAGTGAGCTCTCCCCCTGCCCACACGCTCCCTGGCTCCTCATCGCCCTAGGACCTGGCATTGAAAGTCCCTCATGATTCCCCATCCTGCCCCTCTCCCTGATTCTCTCTAGCCCTGACTTTCCCCAAGTTCCACCTTCCTTTCTGTCGTAGTCACATTGAAATCATTTAAAAAATACTGAACAGCTACTGTGTGCCAGACAGCAGAGCCCCTGTCTTTCTAAGGCTGACATTCTGGCGTGGAGGCGGGAACTCTTGATTCTTTATCCTTCCCTCCCTCCAAAAGTGTGCTTGTCCCAATGGACCCCCAATCTCTGTGCCTCCAACCTGGCTCCCCAGCAGCAAGCTCAGTCTGCCCAGGTCACTCCTATAATCCTGGGCTTGGCACCTTTTGGCTGAGATGACATCTGCCTCATGAACCTGACCCCCACAGAGCTATGCCAAGACCAAGACTAGAGCTGAGGTGCGGGGTGGCGGCCGGAAGCCCTGGCCACAGAAGGGCAGTGGACGCGCAAGGCATGGCAGCATCCGCTCACCGATCTGGCGAGGAGGTAAGCTGGCTGAGCCAGGATAGGATCTGGGCTAACTCGGGGCCTGGGTGTTTCTTTACACACATCTGGCATGATGTCTTGTAGGGGGCACGGCTGGAGGACACAGATCCGCACACCCCACTGCCCGCATGCAGGCAGAGATCTGAGAGCCATCCACTTCTCCCCATTTCCCCAGTCTCTCAGCTCCCCACCCCCACTCCACCCTCTGCCAGCTCTGGCCTTGGCCTCTCTCATCAGACTGGCCACAACCCCTTTCGGCCCCTCCTCCCATCTCCCCTCTCCTGGCCCACACTTCGCCTGGCACCCAGAGGGATCTTCCTGAACCTCCTAGCTCCTGTGGCCTTTGTGTGCACATGAGCTCCTTTCCTTGGCATTCCAGGCACTGGTGGCTGTGGACCCCATTCTGCCCAGATAGCACTGACTCGGAGTCATGTCCCATTTGCCTGGCCAACTTGCTCATCCTTCTGATGTGTTTGAGCCACACCTCCTCCAGGAAGGCCTTCCCAACCTCCTTTGGGTTCCCTGCCCACCCCCCCACAACTCCTGTGCTGCCCTGCCTGGCCCTGACTCCCTTGGTGGTCAAGCCTCTGTATAAATACGAATGGGGCGAGGGCAGGGATCCTTCCATCCCGTTCCCTCCTGCACTCTCAGGGCTGCACCCAGTAGAGGGTGGACGCACAGGGAGACAGTCCTCACTCAGGACTTGATGGCTGAAGAAACAGGCCCAGGGAGGTGAAGTCACCTGTCTCAGGTGATGCCCAATCAGGCCTCCCCTCTCCATTCCTCTGAGAGACCCTGTCCTCTTCGTTGGAGTTGAGCCTGGCTGCTGGCAGCCTCCCCCCGTCCACACCACCCATTGGGGCTAATTTTTGACCACTAAGTCTGGCTGGGGCCCTCACCTGTTTCCACACCTCTGTCCCCACAGGAGGCGTTGCACATGGCCCCCGGGGCCCCACAAGCTACTACTACATGCTGCCCATGAAAGTGAGGGTGCAGGGCCTCAAAGTGGCGCTGACCGTCAAGCTGGCCCAGGTGTAACCCCAATCCCATTGGGAGCCACTAGGGTCCTGGGGTGTGTGAGCCGAGGGCTGGGGAGCACAGTGGACTCTGGTAGCTCAGAATATCTGTTCTTTCCTCCCACCAGGACAACCTGCACATCGTGGACTCCCTGGAGCTACCAACCGCAGACGCTCAGTACCTGAAGGAGCTCGCCTGCTACCGCCGCTGGGGGGATTCTGTGCTCCTGGTGGACTTGTGAGGATGCAGGGCAGAGTGGGTAGCGGGGCTGAGCTCCATCTTCCGCAGGGCTTACCTCCTGGCCTCTGTTTCAGAGCACATGAGGACATGCCTGAGAATATCGTGACAGCCACATCTGGGCTTAAGACCTTCAACCTTGTCCCAGCTGTGGGTAAGTAAAGGGCATCGGTCCACCCCCAGGTCCCCAGGGAGTGCACAGGTCGGTTCACATCTGCCTCTCGGTCACTGAGTGGCCTTCAGTAGTGACCATCCTCCGTAACCATCACCTGGCCCAAATAGTGCATTGGGAGAATGTCTTTAAGTTCTGATGTCACATGTGTCCAAGCTTGGGTCATAGTGCCGGGAATGGAGTGACTCCAAGGGCCCCACCCGGCTCCTCGCTCAGAGAGGCAGGGAGACAGCATCAGGTCTGCCCTGAGCATGTGACACCCATCACCATGTTGACTGATCCCCAGAAGCCTCTCCCACTGTCCTGATTGCATGTCGTGCTGTTTCTGGGTAGCTGTACAAGGGGGTCTCGTAGGCACTTTGGCGTCTCCTTCCTTCCAGGGGCTTGGGCCCCACACCACACCGTCACCCTCCACTCCAGCCGGTCAGCTCACCCAGTCGGCTCTGTCTTTAAACATATGCAGCATCCCATCACCCCTTGCCCCCCCGGGTCAGCCGCCTGCCCGGATCAGCACAGCCCCCTCTGCCCTCATCCTCACAGTTGCCCCCCAGCTGCCAGAGGGCGCCTGTGAGCTCCTGAGGCCGAGCGCATACCTCTGTTGTCCACAGCCCTCCGTGGCTCCCGCTGCACTCAGGAAAACCCCAGGTCCCCCCTGAAACCCACCAGATCCTGCATGACCTGTCTTGTCCCGTCCTTGCCCCTCTGCCCCTCACTCACTCACTGCAGCCACACTGGGTACACTCAGTACATTGTTTTTATTCACTTGCTCTGTCTTTGGTCTGTACACTGGAGTGTGAGGTGGGAATCATGGCCAAGCAGAGGGCAGAGTCGAGCATGTGGGAGGCTCTCAGCAGTTGATGGGTTAAGGACAGTCCCTGGCCCGGGGTTCCCCGGCAGTGAGCTCCTGAGCCAGGGTTTGAACGCAGGCTGTGGGGCTCTCTACCCCATGGCAGACCGTGGTGTCTCTAAAGGGGAATGCTCCCGGGAGGATGGATAGGGGCTCGAGATGTGGGGTACAGACCCACCCTGACTGCACCCCCTGCCCTCCAGGCTTGAACGTGCACAGCATGCTGAAGCACCAAACGCTGGTCCTGACCCTGAGGACTGTCGCCTTCCTGGAGGAGAAGCTGCTCTGGCACGACTCACGCTACACGCCCCTGTACCCCTTCCGCCTACCCTACTGTGACTTCCCCTGACCCCCCGCCCTGTGCCCCAGGGCCCATCCACTGCCTGCCTTCCTGTACCGCTCTTCATACCGGGTGCCTGCTCTGAGCCAGGCGGAGCCCTGGCCATTTGGGGGCCTTGCGCCCACTCTGTGAGAGCAGCGCTCCCCGGGCTCCCAGTAGGAAGCTGGGCCGGGAAGAGGGGCGGGGCCAGCCAGGCAGGTGTCCTGACTGGGAAGGGGCAACTCAGCAGAGCCTGGTTGAGCTCCTGCCCATTTCTCTTTTTTTCTGTTTTTAAGATAAACTTTATTTTTTAATTACAAAAGAGAAACAACAGCTCATTGCCATGTTGTGAATAATTCCATTTGTCAAGTTGGGCTGTTTCCCTGGTGCTGGGCACCGCCAGTACCTCTCTCCTCAAGTGCGGCCTCAGTGCTGTTTACAGGAATGACCCTGAATCACCTTCCCTCGGGTGACTCAGCCCCCAGGAACTCACAGAAGAGCAGGAACCTGCTCCTGGCACCTCCTGGCTCCCAGGCACTGTCATGCCTGCTTTCCTGATGGGGTCTGTGGTCCCCTTTGTTAGGGTCCTTCAGTTCAATGTGCGGGCTTGATTCCACGACTAGATGCCATATGCAAACCCAAGCTTCCATCACAGTGATGTCCCCGAACACAGATTCAGAGTCAGTGTGGTCAATAAACGAGAATAAACACATTTTTGTAAAAACATCAAACCGGTACCCTAATTGTTGAGTCTGCTGACATTATTTGCCTGCGAGTTAATGTTTATAATAGTCAGAAAACTGACTAAATAGTGTGGCCAATTTCTCTGAAGTCGGCCAGAACAGTTGTCTGTGTGTGTGCGCCCGGCCAGGCCAGGCAGCCCCAGTGAGCGCCTGTCCGCTGGGCTGTCCCTCACCAAAAACATCTTTGGAATGCCTCTCTTGGGAGTGACCAGAGCTTGAAACGCATTCTTTGAAAACCCTCACTGGACATACAATTTGATCCTTAAAGCACCAGATTTGACTAAGTTAAGAAATCACTTGGCCCCAGTGGTAAGGGATGCAGAGCCCGAGCAGGAGATGCTGCCTCCCAGTGCTGGCCAGCCCTGTGGGCCATCAAGGCCTAAAGTAAGACCCAGCTGTTGTCCTGATGGCGCCTAGCCTGGCCTAGATAGTCACAGCCGGAAGTCCTATGGCTCAATTGTTGGCGTCACAACCATCAGGAAATGGTAAGACTGACCCCTGCTCAACAGATTTTCAAAAAATGGCCCAGAACATGTTTTCCTGTACTGGAATCCCTCAGCCAGATCAGAATGGAAAAAGGCAACAGAAAGAGATCTGACATCTAGAACATACTTTTCAATAATTGAGTGTTGGGGGGAGTGAGTGCTCAAGCTGCCCCAGCAAAGTACCACAGATTGGGAAGAACTTCAACAACAAACATCAGCTCACTATTCTGGAGGCCAGAAGTCCAAGATCAAGCTGTCCTCAGTGTCCGCTGCTTCGGAGGCTATGTTGGAGAATCTGTCCCATACCGTGCCCCTGGTTTCTGGTGGTTTGCTGGCAATCTTTGGTGTCCCTTGGCTTGTAGACATGTCACCCCAATCTCTGCCTTCATCTTCAAATGGCATCCTTGTGTGTATGTGTGTGTCCAAATTTACTCTTTTTAAGAACAGCAGTCATGTTGGGTTAGGGCCCACCATAATGACCTCAACTTGATCATCTTCAAAGACTTTATTTCAAGGAAAGGTCACATTCACAGGTACTGAGAGTTACGAGTTTCTTCCTTCTCCTTTTTCTTTCCCTTTCCCTTTTCCTTTCCTCTCTCCTCCCCTCCCCCACTTCCCTCCCCTCCCCTCCCCTTCCCTTTCCTTCTTTCCGTCTTTTTTGCAGGGAGGAGAAACAGTCGAACTCGTGGCAGTACGTAAGGGGAAAGATGGAAGGAGAAGACCGGCTATGAGAACTGTGGAAGCTGGCATATGTGGCTTCATCATATGCAACAGCAAAGAGCTGTTGCCTATGGTTGAAAATCTCTATAATTAAAAGCCCTTACAAAAAGAGAGATGGGTGAAGACATTTTTTCAGGAGGAGCTGTTGCTGCCCTCTTGGGACAGAGGCTAACCCAGAGCCCAGAGAGGGAGGGGACTTTACAGCTTTAGAAAAGTGTCCTTTGTTACAGCCCCCAGGACCCAGGCTAGGAAAGCTGTGATCTGATTCCCAGGCCGCCCAGAGGGCAAGAGGTGGGCGGTTCTGATGGTGGAGCCAGAGGGTCTGCTTATTGGTGTTCAGTCGACCTGGAGGCCCCCCTGGAAGAGATGAGATGGTAGGACTTGATCCCAGGGCCTGGAGAAAGAGCCGCAACCCAGATCAGATGCCAGAATCCAGTGAAGGGGTCCCCAGGCAAGAGGCAGCCTCAGAGCTCCCTGTAACATGTATCCACCAAATCCACCAGGGGGTACCATTTTAACACACTGCTGCCTCAAGGGGCAAACCTATCAGCCGAGGAGGAACTGCCCTGTCCGGGCTCCTCTCCTCTCTGCGTCTGGGCAGGACGGACCCAAAGGCTGGTGAGAGGGGTCAAGGCAAACAGGAAGGAGGTCAATGGCAAAGGAACCAAACCCTTTTTTCCCATTGAGGCCGCCCGCCTAAAGAGGCCTGACCCAAGGCTCCCATCAGACACCAAGTCAAGTTTAGAGGTTGGAATGTAACGATGACCTGGGCCTGAGTCATGGGCAGAATTCTCAGCCAGGGTAGGGCAAGATTCCACTACCGAATAAAGCGATGAAGGGAAAAGCAAAGCTGTTCCGATGACACCCAAGCTTCATGAACTTCTGCTTTACACCCTAGGGTCACTAGGGGAGCTGCAATGCCAGTATGCACAAGCTCCATGGGAACCCAGAGGAGGAAGCACGTACTACTGCCTAGAAGTGCAAGGTGGGAGTCTCAGAACTGAGTCCTAAGGAAGCAGTAAATACTACCGTCTGTTCTCACTCTGCATGTGTCTTTGCCAAGCGCTGCACACAAATCATGTTACTGAAAGTTCACATCCACCCTTTGAGGTGTGTGTTATCATTCCGATTCTGCAGCTGCAGCTATTAAGGTGCAACCAAGGGAAGGTGACTTCCTTGAGGTTACAGCTTGTGACAAGCGCTCTCAGTGCTCTGACCAACCACATCCCCTTTGCACTTGCTGTCCCAGGCAAACCCCCAGCTTCCTGTACTGGGCTTGTCCGCAAGAATGTCAGAAGGACTGGGGAACCATAATGAGATACCACTTCCCACCCATTAGGACGGCAATATTAATAATAATAAAACATAAAATAAGTATTGGCAAGGATGTGGGAAAATGGGAATCCTTAAACCCTTGAACCCTTGTCCATTGCTGGTAGGAATATAAAAATGGTACAGCCACTGTGGGCAAGGAGCCTGGCAGTCCCTCAAAAAGTTAAATATGGGATTACCATGTGACCCAAAATTCCACTTCCAGGTATATGCCCAAAAGAACTGAAAACATGTTCACACAAAAACTTGTACCTGGGTGCTAAATACAGCATGATTCACAATACCCAAAAGGTGGAAACAACCCAAAGTTCTATTGACCAATGAATGGATGAACAAAATGTGATATATACATGCAATTGAATACCATTCAACTATAAACAGGATTGAAGTATTCCCAGAAAAATTGAAAACAGGGACTCCAACAAGTATTGTGTGCCCATGTTCACGGTAGCATTATTCACAATGAGCCAAAGGTGGAAAAAGCCTAAATGTCCATCTACAGATGAATAGATATACAGAATGTTATACTGAATGTATATCTTTACAACAGAATATTATTTGGCCAAAAAAAGGAAAAAATACTGATTCATGCTATGACATAGAGGAATCTTTATGGTCAATATTCTGAACTTAATATTGAGTGAAAGAAATCAGACACAAAAGATGACATATCACCCTGACCAGTGTGGCTCATTTGGTAGAGCATTATTCCACAAAGTGAAACGTCACCAATGCCTGGTCAGGGCACCTGTGTGGGTTGTGGGCTGGTCCCCGTTTTGGGTGCACACGAGAGGCAACTGATCGATGTTTCTCTCACACATAGATGTTTCTCCCTCTCCCTCCCCTATCTCTAAAAATAAATAAGTAAATAAACTAAATATTTTTTCTATGATATCAGAATCTCTGACATTCTGGTGTTTGTTTTTTTTTAAAGATTGTGTTTTTATTTACTTTAAGAGAAAGGGGAAGGAAGGGAGAAGGAAGGAGGAGAGAAACATCAATGTGCAAGAGAAATATCGATTGGTTGCCCCTGCAGTGTCCCCAGCTGGGGCCCTGGCCTGCAACCCAGGCAGGTGTCCTGACTGGGAATCAAACCGGTGACCTTTAAAGTTCACAGGCCAGCATGCAATCTGCTGAGTCACATCCACCAGGGAAAATAAATAAAATATTTTTTTAAAAAGACCACACATTGTTTAATTCCATTTATATGAAATGACCAGAATATGTAAATCTATAGGGAAAGAAAGTATATTAGTTGTTGCCAGGGGCTGGGGAGAGGAGGAATCAGGAGGTACTAGGTTTCTTCTCAGGGTAATGAAAATATTCTGGAAATTCTTTAAATATTCTTTTAAATATTCTTTAAATAGTGGTGACCATGGTACAACATAGTGAATATACTAGAAAACCCTTAAAAGATTAAAATGTGAATTTTATGTTATATGAATTTATTTCTCTCAATTTCATATAAATATGAAATTGGTGCAGCCATTATGGAAAGCAGTATGGGCGTTCCTTTAAAAATTAAAAATAGAAATACCATATGACCTAGCAGTTCTACTTTTTGGAGTTTTCTCAAGAAAACAATATCACTACCTGGAAAAGATACCTACATTATTTATAGTAGCCAAGACATGAAAACAGACTAAATGTCCAGGGATGGATGAATAGATAAAAAACATGTGGTTCATATAGACACAATGGAATGTTATTCAGCCATAAAAAAAAGGAACGTTTGCTATTTATGACAACATGGACGTGCCTTCAGGGAATTATGCTAAGTGAAGTAAGTCAGACAGGACAAATATTGTATGATTTCACTTGTATGTGGAATATTTTTTAAATATCTATTTTATTGATTATGCTATTACAGTTGTCCCATTTTTTCCTCCCCTTTATTCCCCTCCACACTGCACTGCTCCTCCCCCCAGCATTCCCCCCCTTAGTTCATGTCCATGGGTCGTATGTATAAGTTCTTTGGCTTCTTCATTTCCTATACTATTCTTAACCTCCCCCTGCCTATTTTGTACCTACTATTTATGCTGCTTATTCCTTGTACCATTTCCCCCATTCTTCCCCCTCCCCCTTCCCTCTGATCTCCATTTCTGTGATTCTGTTCCTGTTCTAGTTATTTGCTTAGTTTGCTTTTGTTTTGTTTTGTTTTAGGTTCATTTGTTGATAGTTGTGAGTTTGTTGTCATTTTACTGTTCATAATTTTTGATCTTCTTCTTTTTCTTTGATAAGGCCCTTTAACATTTCATATAATAAGGGCTTGATGATGAACTCCTTTAACTTGACCTTATCTGGGAAGCACTTTTTCTGCCCTTCCATCTAAATAATAGCTTTGCCGGACAGAGTCATCTTGGATGTAGGTCCTTATCTTTCATGACTTTGAATACTTCTTGCCAGCCCCTTCTTGCCTGCAAGGTTTCTTCTGAGAAATCAGCATATTGT